ATTTTGGAAGTGTATTTTCCTCAGGATTCTATAATATAGCAAGTTCAACCATATATGTGTAGCAGGAGTAAATTGGGGACTCTTACTCCTGCTACAAATATATGGTTGTATTTCACATGTTTTTTTTGTGAAACAGTTTGCAGATATATGCGGTGATAAAAGTTGACAACTTTTATCCGTTGACTATACTGCAAATGGAGTTGGAGTGAATGCATCTAAGTGATTCTGTGACAATGGTACGGTTATTTATTTTTCTAGAAATCAATAAAATGGAGGAAGACTGATAGTCTGGCAAAGGGATCCCTCGTTTCAGCAGTTTCAAATCACTCAAGCTGAAAATGTTCATATCTACTCTCTACAATGGCATATTAAATATTTACATCTTCACCAGAGATCATTGAACTTCCTGCTTTTTTATTTTTATTTTTTTTTAAATCAAACAAATGACACCTGAGTCAGAATCCAAACTTATCTTGGTAGAAGATGTCTGTTGTATCAATTCACCTGATCAGCTGGTCAAAAAAATAAATAAAATAGAACATTAACTTCATACCTGCGAATCAGTCCCTGAAGTCAGACTCTACTTTTCAGCGCTAGCAGTAACCATGATGTTAATATCTAATAGGGCCACTCGATATAGACAAAAAAAAATGTGTAGACCTGTGTTAACTATTTATTGGCACTTCTGATAGTTTTAATCTTTTTAAACCAATGGCAGGGATATTTCTATTTCCATTTGTGTTTTTGCAGATAAACTTTAAATATCTGCTTATGACTCTGACAAAAGTCAGCACCTGCAGAATACAGACTGGAGTAGAACGGCCAACCGGGGCGTGTTGTCAGTCCCAGATCTGAGCTTTCACTTCAAATCCAACCAAGCATGGAGAAGCACAGCAACCTACTGTCCCTGATGCCACTGCAAAAACAATAGCCAGTCTCAATCCTCAACATCCCCAGCCTAATCAGAAGTGTGACCAGAAGTGTAAAAATGTCGGTCGGCTTTGCCACAGTAATCCCACATAGAAACACTGGACTCTGTGGCTGACTTAAGAAAAAAGAAAAAAAAAAACAGCTGTCAACTGTCTCTTACAAAGCTGTAAGTCATTAATGTCAGCTAGTATTATCCATCAAACAATTCTAAAACTTTTTTTCCCCAGTTTGAATTGTTTTAAAATAGCATAAAGCAGCTACAATCAATGATCTGTCTGTCCAGCTGTTAACCTTTCAAGTCTTTCTTCCCTGCTCTACAACCTCAGTTTGTAGACGTCCATCTTCAACAGGTAAAGTAACTATTACTGCCAATAACCTCACATAACCTCTCCACAAAAATTGCAAGCCCTTAAGGGCCCACTGCATTGCCATGGTGATAAGATTAATGCATTTTCCCTACAGTCATCTTTGTAAAAGACCCTGACCTTCCATTTTACTCATTTTGGTTCTGTCCTGCTGAATCTTCATTTCAGTAACCCACACAGACTTTTATTCAAATTTAAAAGGCTTATGCAGTCTTTTAGCCTTTCTTATTTGGCCTTAAAGGAGGCGTAGAAATAGCTTCACATTCACAATGGAAGTGGGAATACTTTACTTTATTATTACTTTATTCAACAGACTCATGGTTCACAAGATACACAACAACATGACATAAAAACAAGGGAAAAAAATAAAATAAAGTAAAAAATAAAATAGATCTTATAAAAGAAGGAAATAGTTTGGTAAACTTCTGTTATAATAGAGTCATTAATATTATATTATTGATTATGACTGACGTAGGTAAGAAGGGTATTTAACTAAAGTTTTCTTTTGCCTTCATGAGTGGGAAATGTGCATGTGAACATGGAAACCTTACCTAAGGATTTTATTGTTAAGTCTGGCTGAGAGAATGAAGCAGAGGTTCGACTCAGCCAGCTACCATCTACCATCTTATGTTCAGAGGAAAACCTCAGGCCTGAAAATCACTTTTCCAGCTCCAGCATTATGGTCCGTAACATTCTTACTTCTATTTGAGGGTGGGTGATAGTCCAGCACTGACTTTGGTTGCTAAATTGAGCTTCACGGCCAAACTGGCTCTCAATCAGCGAGCGCTTTTATGTTTTACAGAGACCGATCCAAGTTGCTTCTGGCTTGAAGCCTATAGAACAATCCTCCCTGTGACTCTGCATGCTGCTTAAAGATTAGCATTGCAGGCCTAAGCTATGAAATGAAGGTAAAAGAGTCATATCTTCTTGTAAACTTAAACTCGATGCTGGTATACATGTTTCCTTTATTTCTCACCTCCCACTGTGTGTCTTCCAAACATTACTTCACTGAGGTCAAACTGCAAGAATGGTATTTAATGTTTGTCTTTAAGTCCAGGTTTATAACTCATCTTTATTCACCAGCTTTTTACTGACACTGTTATCTGTTCTTAATGTGTTTTTATGTTTTTGGCATGCCCCGTTTTTAAAGTACTACATAAATAAAGTTTGATATGTTATGGCATATGTGTCAGGTATATTTCTCTGAGATAAAAATGATTTGTGTAAAGCATATCTTACAATAAGTAAGACACAAGTCTTGTTCTCTCCCAGTTTTACAGTGACAGAAATGTGCTTTATCTCGGGAGTGTTTTTTTTTTTTTTTAAATGTGTGGTTGTAAAAACCTTCAACAGAATATCAAGTGAAGGAATGTCACTATTTTGGAATTGGAAATGATTGATCTTCTTTCTAAAATGTTTTAGGGGAAATTTACAGATACATCTAACTCAGTGGTGTCAAACTCATTTTTGTTTTGGGAAATCAAGCAAATCAAGATTGTGAATGCTCTTAAAGGGCCCGCAGTGCCGGAACCGTGTTGATAAAATCTGTTCACAAACTGTTAAAATATCAATTAATTCCTAAAATGAAACAATGATATTGATAATCTTTTAAGTTCCTCCAAGATTCTGCGATAATTTTAGGGATTTATAGTGTTTGTGGTTGTAATTTGGAAACATTTGCAATATTTATTTATGACAGTAAATGTGACTATGATCTGACATCCATCAAGACTGAAGCAATTGTTTAGTACAAGTAAAGTGTTTGGCAGATTTTGAGAAAAATTTGATTAAAAGCCACCCAATTATTAGTTGGTCCCAATTATTAGTGTAAAAAAGTGCAAGAATTTGTTGAGTTTGCGTGAATTTCCACAGTAATTAAACTCCAGCCACCCAGAGTTTAATTACTTCTATTATTTCTGTTCAGAGGCAAGGTTGATTTGACTTGAAATTAGCAGAATTTCCTGAAAAAGACAGAAGAAAGGCAAAGGTTCTTAATTCAGAAACATACGAGTCAAAGTTTCTCATTTTTGCGTCTCGCTCCACATAGCTTCCCCTCTGGGTCGGATGAGACGGATTCTGAAGTCGCAGCTACATCTCACCTCACAGGCTGCTCTCCTGTCTCCTTCATTTACATAATACAAGATTTACATAAGGAAAGATAAGACTTGTAAAACTTTTATTCCCCCTCCGTGACTGACACGGTCTATTAGGCTAACTGACATTCTTGTCCCCTATCGGACCAAGAAAGCGCTGAAGTGCCTGTTCGCTGCACTGAAAATTAGAAATGAAAATGAAAAGATGGATGCTGCCATAAAAGATAAGGAACGAGACAGATGACACACTTAAAAAAAAAAAAAAAACATCATAAAAAGAGACTGTTCTGCCATCGGGTGTCATTGAAAGCCAGGCTGTGTCTCGGTCAGATGCTCACATTTTTAAGTTAAAGAAATCACAAAGTTAATAACATAGTTTTGATGGCAATTAGAAAAAAGCACAACGAGAGAATTTGTATTTTTAAACAAAATGATGCTCATCAACAGTGGAGTACAACAGCAGAAGGCTGATATTAATTATGGTAAGATTTTTCTTTTAATTTTGGCGTCGAAATCGGCTTTTGCTTCAACTTGCTTTAAAAACATCAATCTTACATCATATCTGGCCTTTTCCTCTGAACTGAATGCGAGTTGAGCTTGGTGGATTTAAATCTCGACATTATTTCACTTATTCCCTCCTAAGATCCTTTCAACGTCAAATCTCAATGGACGTTTGAGGAAGAGATGATGATTGAGTTTAGCAGCTGCAGCCGCTTCAATTGGTCTATTCCAGGTGCAGCTAATTTGCCTGATAAAAGTGGGGCGGTGGTATATAATTGGTTTCAGTGTGGGGGTGTGTAGCTGTACGCTTCTCTAATTGGATTAAGGAAACCTGGAAGAATTTTCCCTTCTTGATTCGACACTTATAAGATGACAGGATGGAAGAGAGAGAAACGGCTCAAAATGGTATGTGTGTCCAGTTGGCTGAAGGATTATAGACGTAGCCACACATTTTTCTTTTTCAATACTCATTGCGTGTCGGTCTTATGGTGCGTTCACACCAAACACTTTTCGTGCGCCGTGTATGTCTGGTTTACGTTCAAAATCTATGTGGAGCTGAATCCAGGTTCCATCACATCTAGAGCAGTAGGATTTGAAACTTTTTGAGCATTTGACGAGGCAAGCGAGACTGACTGGTAGGCCAGTGATGGAAAACAACTAGAGAGATTTTGAGATCTGATGAGGCCTCAACGTGCCTACATGCAGACTTTGGATGTAAATCCGATGTGTGCAACGCATTTGGTGTGAGCGTACTATCAGGGTCAGGGTTGGGATAATAGCATGACACTGTAGAGCTCTGTTTTTAAATTTGTTGGTTTCTATTATGCTGGCTTAAATTTTGAAGCCTCACATGGGAAAATCGATTTATGAAACGATTTATTTATGAATGACCTGGGCTGAGTCAGAGACTCTCTCGTCTTTTGGGTTTTAGAATGTAACCGTTTTGTGAAAGGGGCGATTAAAAAAAATCAACATTAAAAAATTGTCAAACGATTAAAAATGTTTTAATTTTTTTTTATAAAACATTTTCAAAACCATATATTATTTTCCTCTCTACTCACAATTAGACTTCAGTCTCCTATTAGCACAGTGAAGGTTGTGGTTGTGATAAAAATGACTTGTGGCTTGAAATATTGAGGTGTTTTTTTTTGTTGTTTGGAAAGGAAACAGGTGTGCATTGCACTTTGCACAATTTGTTCATTTCACACCAGCAATGCGTCAGCGACGGCTGCTATTGTTTTAAGAACAAGAACGGTAAAGTAGGTGTTTAGGTCCGAGCGTATCCTGTTGTGCGGTCAACCAACTCGCACAGGGTCTGGTGTGTATGTGTCATGTGTTTGTGGGAAGGAAAGGGAAGAAGAAGTAAGGGTGATGTCATATTGGATGACTTCACTTCAGATGTGCCAGGGAGTACGAGAGCATTGCACTGCCCTTTTCTTATCAGGGTGCTCTGCCCTGCCTTTCATCCTCCCAATGCCAGCCCTACCAGTCCCGTACTTCCAGAAATAGACTCAAGCTTTCCTCTAACTCTCCTACCAGCCCACCAATCTGATCTCAAAACCCTCCCACTTACACTCCAGTCTCGCCAATATCAAGCCTGTGGCTGACTTCATTGGCTAAGTTACTTTGCCAGAGCTTGAGACCATACAATCTCTCAGCTGACCTGTTCATATTCCGGCATGGTTGACAGCACACATGCCTCCCTCATCCTCCCACCGACAGCGGCGACAACAGCAAAGAGGAAACACCTCACAGCAGAGCCAGCGGGACGTGGAACACACACTCTCTCTCTCCCACTGGAGCCACACTGGAGGGGGCAAGCTAGGCTGCACTACACACGCATGCGATCCTCCCCCCCCCCCCTCCACAACACACACGCGCATACACACACAGACACTGGCTCCTCCCTTTGTGAACAGAAAGAGATGGGAGGTGCAGTCAATCACTGAGAGTAAGTGGAAGGGGCTTGAGTAGGACTTGCTCAGAGGGGGGGTGGGGGAGGCGGGACAAATCCTGTTCATTTTCTCCAAATAAATATTGGAGGTAACAATCAGGATTCTTTTATCCGGAGCGAGGGAAAATAAGCAGAGGAAGATAAAGGGCGTGCGTCTGATTTCAGAGGCAACACAGGAAGTAGGGCATGCTCAGCGCAGGGGTGAGGAAGGGAGGGTGGGAGAAAGAAAAGGAGGAGAGGGAGAGCTTTGTGGTGCTTTTTCTCCACCCCTCTTCTTAAAGGAGCACCAAAGAGGAAAGACAGACACAGTCGGTCAGAGGGAGAGGAGAGGACCACAGCTAAAGACGTTTGGAAGGAGGTTTGCATCAACAGCAAAAAAGTGGGGTGGAATGGAGCTCTGAAATTACATTTTTCCCTCATTTTCCTCTGGCTTTTTCCTCCTCCTACCTTCCTCCCCCCCACCACCACCAAATCTGGCTCAGTCTGCTTATTTTCTCAACTCTGCAAGTGTCATAAGACTGACTATGCCTGGTGAGTGTTAACCGGCTCTTCACATGTCATCGTGCCTTGTCATCCTTTGCGAGACGGTCGTTTCAAGCGGACGCGCGTGGCTGCGAACAGAGATGCTGATGCTGACGACTCGCTGTAAACTGTTTCCACTCCCGTGAGTCTGTGTGCGGGTGATGCTCCGGCTGCACTGTGCTCCTCTGTCACCAGCAGCGTCTTGACCACACGCAGACTCGCAACGCACCTTTTGTGCTTTCCGGGAGTGCGCTGTTGTTATGCAACTGCTCAGTTCGCATTCATGGTCGGACGGAGCAAGCTGTCGTGACAGATTTTTATAGAAGCCATAAAACAAAAAAAAGCTTTTGTTCTGTTTTATTTGCTCGTTTGGGAGCATGGAACTCGAATGTGGGAACGCCACACCACGCCGGCCTGTGTGACGGAGGTGCGGCCAGCTAACACAAATCAGATGACTGGGCCACATTGTGAGGTCAGCTGCTGGTTCTGGCCAACAGTTTCAGGCCAATTAGATTAACTATAAAAAAAATAAAATAAAATAAAAAATACAAGCAATGAGGGAAGTCTATTGTTGGTGGCTTTTAATCATGATGCGGTGTTTCTTCTTTGATGATGTGTCATCAAAATTTTCTTCAAACTTTAGAAGGTTAACTCTGAGTTAATTAGAATTAAACATTGCATTGAGGGTAAATTTTTTTTTTGCAATGTACGGCAGAATCTTTATCAGCCTCTCCTGATATTGATTGGACATTTCCACGAATCTAAATAGACCAATGGATGCAGGCTCCTCAGATGTTCACAACAATGTAAATAGTAAGACGAGACCATTACATGCAGAAAATCTATCAGTAGCTGTACATCATATTTGATTAAGTCAATGCCATTTCACTGGATTTATTTGGTCATCAAAAAAAATAGAGTAATAAATATTATATTTTTTAGGAAAATATGTGTCTTTGTGCTCTAAGAAAATCAGTAATTAAACTTTTTAAACTGTTTTTTTCTTCGATTTGTCCACCACACCACAGAACTGATGGTTTTTATGTTCTATTTGAGTCAATTTGACAACTTAATTATTTAATTTTGTACATTTATGCAAATCTATCCTGATTCGCAAAGAGTGATTTCATTTGTGTTTTATAATTAACCACATTCATTGAATAAAACCACTCATCAAAGTAAGAAAAATAAATAAATAAAAGTTACCAACAAAGATCATCTGTCATCTCAAGCTACTTTATAGAACAAGTCCAGCTACACTGAATCCACTTTGGTCTAAATGAATTTCAAATCAAAAATGTCAATACAATTGAAAACAAATGACATAAAGTTCAGTTTATTCCTAACTTTAATACAATACAGTGAAATTTAGCTGATCATTTAAAGCTGGTTAGTAAAAAAAAAACGTTTTTTTATTTTTTTAATTTGTTTTACTGCAGCCTCATTCTGAGCAAGCATGTGGCGACAGGAGAAAGGAACCATCCACCCTGACCTGGATTAAAATATGCAGTCATCTGTGATGGATTTATTTGAGAATACAAATAAAGAGAGACAAAGTTATTTGCAGTAATACTTCCATTAGTGGCTTTGAACTGACCAAGGAGTACATTAAAAAAAAAAAAAAAAAAAAAAAAAAAATATATATATATATATAATATATATATATATATATATATATATATATATATATATATATATATTAATATTGTGCTGCATCATTGGTTTTTCTCCAGGACAGAAACACGGTCAAATACAGACGAATTGAGCCAGGAGTTCCCTCTGTGGCAATGGAGTGGTATCTCGCTTTGTTCTGTACTTCTTTAGAACATAGAAACAAATGTTGCACCAGTCGCATAAGTGAGTAAATTTAGTTTCACTTTCACAAAAGACTTAAATAAATTTAATTTGGATTTGAAAAACATTCTGACTCCACTGAGAACGCTATTTTCTGTTTTGAAAAATCAGTAATGGTTGTCTGATGGTTGATAAATTGTGTGCTTGTTTGCCGCAGCATGCTGTTGATGTAGGTTTCAGAGCTCAGTGGTTGTCTTGTGCTCCGGAGGCTTATAGAAATAATAATAGTAAAAAATGAAACGGCTTGAATTCAGCATATTGTGCTGAAAGCATTTGGAGCACTCAGTGTATGGACTGCATAGCTGTTTGCTCTGTTTACATTATGAGCTTCCATTGTTTTCCTCTCCACTTAGCCAGGGGCGCCATATCAGTTCATACGCATGAACTGATGTTACTGTACATACTGAAGCTTATTCACGTGTTGTATTCAGAAGCCTGGGTTTATTTTTTTGCGTGTGTGTGTGTTTACATGGCTTTTTAACAAGTAGACAAGAGATGTCGGTCATTTCTGCAGCTTCATGGACATGCAGATGGGGTAAAGGGGTGAGACAGCGAGGCCAAATGTGACGCGAGGATAGAAGAAACTAGTCACTGTAGGAAGAAGACTGAAACAAAACAGTCAGCGATTGTTTATGCTCTAGTATTTTCTGCACTTGTTAATTCTGGGTGGCTAAACCTTTTATGCACCTTCCAGACAGTTTCTTCTCACTTCAGCAAATGACCACAGGGACGTTCAGCTGATGATGTGATTAAGTACTGGCCCATATATTTAGTGCATTATGTGTTACGCAAGAATGAATACAGCGCTGCTTTGTAATCTGTCCTCCAATGCTGCTTCCTGTCTGTTTTGTTCTTTTTGGAGTGTTGTGTCTCTGTAAGTACTCTGTCACGCTGTGGATCATCTCTGTGATGTACATTGATTTACTGGGAGCTGATGAAGTGGAGCGGAGCATTTGATCAGACACAGGGACATGGAAATGAGGGAGGAAGGGAGGGAATGAGTGGCTGGATGGAGGAGCTGGAGGTCGATGGACGTTCAGGTCCACTTCTGGTTTTGGAAGGGCACAGCTCAACGCTTGGTCTGAACAAAAACAAAAATCATCTGGTCCTCTGGAAACGCAAAGGATATTACTGGGTTGGTGCAATGCGAGGATTAAACGATCACACAAACCACAACAGTCTTCATTGTGGAAGTTGGTACTGAGTAAAGAATCGATAATTGCTAAAATGAAAACAAAGCATTGGAAGCTTAAAGTTAGTTAAGTATCAGATGTGAACAGTTTTAATAGAACAAACAGGCTCAGCTGAGATATGTCCATATATAAACAATATATCTGTATCGGTAAAAGTGGATCATTATGAAATTATACGATTGTTGTTATATAATAATAATAATAATAATAATAATAATAATAATAATAATAATTGTACTAAATGCTAAAGAAGATGCTGTACATTTAGCTGGGTGTTCAATTTTTTTCCCCCAAGGTTTCCTTAACATAGCAAAACACACATGAACAAATTTGCATGAAAAAGAAAAATACAATACCATGAAAAAAATGGAGGGTAAATAACTAAAATTTCAAAAGAATTAATACAGAGAGCCACAAAAGTTTCAGGGCAATTTAACGCAATACATTTCCCTACTTAACCCACACCTTTTCATTTTTTGCAAGCTGCAATCTACCTGAAAAAGTAATTCTTTCCACTCTAAATAAATCAAATATGATCTGTTTCCAGTCATTCAGAGTTTAAGTTGTTATGCTTTGCCATGTCCTTGGCTGTTCTAGTTCATAAAGGGAAATATATTAATTGGCAAAAATTTTACGACTGCAAGTCAGCGCTTTAAGAAAAACACAGACAATTATTCTACCCAAATTTCTGTTTGGTGTATTTTTATTTTGTCAGTTCAGTCAAATTTTCTCTTGATTTTTAATCTCTTGAACCACACTTGCAAGGCGAAATATATTTGATTTAATCATCAGAGAATGAAATGGGAACATATGGTCGTGACAGAGTGGCATTGTCAATTCTTGCCCCGAAGGCCAGGTTGTGGATTCAGGTGGAACGGCTGCAGAGAACAGCTCTCTACACTTCATCCCGATTCTGTTCACATGTTTCTACCCAAATCAACTCTGTGAAGTTGTTGTCCCTGCTTCATCTCTCCTCTATTTATTTGTCTGCCTCGACAAATGACACGAAGGCCAGGCTGTGGCAGAAACGAATGACAGGGAGCTCTAATGGCTCCTAAGGTTCCACTTCCCACTTGTTTCTCCTCATGTGTGAACTTCTGGAAGAGGAGACTGAACAACAATTTCTTGTTTATCTTTTTGAAACGCTCATGAAAGATCTGAAGGACTAGGTTTCTAATTGTTTTGAACTGGACTCGTGAGAATTTTGATAAATTAAGCACTGCTTCGTGGAGTTGAGACTGCGGCGTCATTATCTGTTGTTTACGCACAATGGGGAGCTGCTGATGCAGATGAAGTCTTAAGATGATGAGTTTGTCTTATTACAGACAATAAAACAACAATGGCATTTCCTTCATTGTATTTCCTATCAAAAGATTCAATAAAGATATCAAATCTAATAATTACTTAAACCGTCCTATTTGTTATAAGTGGTGCTTATGTAGTTAAATTATACATCCCATAGTCTGACCAACAGTTTCTGTTTTCACGTGAAGTACTAGTCATCTAAACAGCAGTAAAATGATCTCTAAAGATTCATTGACTACTTTTTTATCGCTGCTTTTCTTCCACCCAATGTTTGCTAGTGGCACTTTCTCCGAGCAGGAAACGATTAACTGTAATTAACATTTTACTGTCAAAAAGAATAAAGTGAATGTGGGGCTTGTGATTTATGCTGCGTTTAGCATTTTGTTGTAGTGATTAGCAAAAGTTAGTCTTGTTGATTAAGAACATTAATCTCTGTAAGTAGAACATGCAGGTCCACACGTCGACTTTGAGATTTCCAAAATGTTCAATATTTCCAAATTTCACTGGTTCCATGACGGAGATGGGTGGACAGGTGACAGGCATCAAATTTAAAATAATACGTCGGGCATGATGAGAGAGGTTTTGAAGGCGGATCTTCGGAAACAGCAAGAAATTCTTAAAGAGACAAAGAATCAAGTTACAAAGTCTTAATTTCTT